GTATATCTTTATGTTTGAAGCCTGAAATGTGGCGAAATGTTGAAAGGTTCAAGGGGGGCGAATACTTTCGCAAGGCACTGTAGCTGCACTGGTACAGACTTACTGAAACAAGACTACCAGTCTGTGCCATTGACCCACCAACAATCCACTCAGATGGTTGTGGCTGAAGGCACTTAAGGACACAACTAGAGTTTGGCACTTCACATCCGCAGCTGCCCGCTTCTGAGATCTGATGGGATCAGGCTTTCACATGCATCGATGGCACCACATACATATACATTTCCTGAATGCTCTCTTTGTAAGCCTCCTGTTGTTGCAATGAAATATTCAAAAGTTAATTCTATTCCAAATTAGATTCCTTCCTGACATTTAGTTTTGCCGTTTGCTCGGAAAACAGATGCTACTTTTGATCGCGTGAGAGCTGATATTTCATCTCCGCTGTCACGCCTAATGAAAACGCACTTCGCACTCCTTGCTTTGTTCTATGCTATTTTAGGTTAATTTGAAAACAGCTGGACGCCTGGCAGTGTACTGCTACCATTAAGTCAGAGTTTGTTTGAGGAGCCGACAGCTTCTCGACATCCGGGAGGTCGGGAGATTGTCACATTGCACTTTTGTGGGACAGTTTGGGACATGTTGTGTATTTTGGTAACACTTGGCCTGGAAGGATATCGATGACAGCTGTTGGTTTTGAAGTGAAGAGCTTTTCAACATCACCCACTATAGCTCCACCTGGGTGCCGATTTTGTCTGCGAATGGTTGAAAGCATTTGTCAATGTTTAATTGACCTTTGTCTATGTTTTTGCAGCGGTGCATTTATGCTCCAAAAAGATTATGTTTAAGAGAGACTTTTCCGCACAAAGCTGGTCTTGTGTGTTGTGCATTAGAGCAGGGGTTCCCAAAGTTTTTAGCCCGCGACCCCCATCATAAATGCGCTGCTCCCCCGCGACCCCCCACCTCAACAGTCCTTCCCGTCAATGAGCATGTATTTCCTTTTATACGGAGTAACGCAGAGACTCGCGCCACTACTGAGCTGCACTGTCCAGCCCAAAAAAGGAGGCTTGCGTATTTTTACTCACGTAGTGACACAGTGATGGGCTTGGTGGGCTCCCTTCTTAGCAGAAGTGGAGCGCATTTCTTGCGGCTCGCCCTCTCTGTTCTCATACCGCGGTAAAGTGGCCCGGTTTTTTGGAGTCAGCGGTAAAGAGGTCCGCACACTAAAAGCGGGCGGCCGCTTTTTGCTGTTTCTTCATGCGGTTCCTCCCCCGCGGTTCCTCCCCCGCGGCTTCTTTTTCCAAAGTTAATGTAAGTAACAGCATAAACCGGCCACCCGCTTTTAATGTGCGGACCTCTTTACCACTGACTCCGAAAAGCCGGGCCTCTTTACCACGCTGTTCTACCGCTGCCTTCTCTCCCTCCATTTTTTTTTTTTTTTTTTTGTAAATCATCTTGCGACCCCCCCAGGCGTTCCCGCGACCCCCACTTTGGGAACCACTGCATTAGAGCAAAGATCCCTAACATTTTTAGTGCCATGAAGCGGTTTAATGATAGCACGAACTGGCACCCAACGCCAGCACTGTATTAGCCGAGCTTTACAAGTTTGCTCCGTTGAAAAACTGTTACTTCCATCAGCTTTTGGCCCCAGTTCTGACCCGGCTGTGTATGCTCCTGTCCAAGGGCACTGTCTTGGTCCTGGCTCCTCTGGTCATTTGGTCACAGGCGCCTCATACATACCTCCACACGTCATTCTCTCTACACAGTGTTTGTAATACTTCATTATGAGCCTATGTGCAGCGCGCAAGCCTCTTCAGAACGAAAGGGACATTTCTGTTAAAAGTTCAGCGAGATTGTGTCACAGGACCAAGATGTACGGTGAGAATCCAGTCATAAAAAAAAGAAAAGATTGTTTCGACTGTTTGGTTAACGGAAAGTACAAAATGTAAAGTATGTATTCTTTCCTTGGCGGCCCGGTTCTAATGCCCTACGGCCTGGTACCGGTCCGCGACTGTGGGTTGGGGACCACTGCATTAGAGCATCTTCATGCTTCATGGGTCATCACAATTTTGAACAAACCAAACAAACTTAGATTATGGGCCACAAACATGATCTTAGTACAGAAGTAGAAGTACAGAAATAAATTTTTTTTTTCTTTCATTCCACAGCTTTTAGTCCATTTTCCTTGTTTGACTACTAGGGCTGGGACAACGCGTCAACCTAATCGATGACGTTGACGTAAAACATGCGCGTCGATTCGTCACACTCAAAACAAAGATGGCAGCAAGTAGTAGCAGTAGTAGTAACACAAGGGCCGTCTGGGGCGTTCAGCAGTTTCCAGGCGCAGTAGAGGTACATTCTCTAAATTTCAGAGGCTAGGGGTGTTCAGACCAGAGTTCCTGGGCCTGACGTGGCGCCCGGCGGAAGTAGCGGAAGTGCTTTGATGCTAATGAAGTTAAGCTAGCGACTTTTTGTTTAAAGTTCTTCTCTAAGAAGGCAGCTCTGCAGCGTCTCTGTGTCCAGAGACCTTCCATAGACTTTATATAACAACAGTGTGTGTTCACGGAGGTGCGCCATACGTTTATTTTATTATTAGACGGTACCTCCGCATCAGCGAACATACTAGCTGCGCTAGTTTAGTCACTGGAGAATGACAACTTGGGCTGGAGGTTCACAAGCACACACAAAGAGACAGACAGTATTCTTAAGGGGAAAGGAAAGTGTCCAAGTCTAAGTTGTTATTTGTGAATGAAGATGATTTTTTCAGTAAGCCAGGCCTATGTTCAACATAACTGTTGAATTCTAATGTTTATTTTCATCATTTATTTTTTGCTGGAAAAGCACTCTCTCTTTAGCTTAAAGCCCTCAAGTTTACATTGGTTACTGTATTCTTTCAGTTGCTCTAAACAAGTCGTTTGGCTGAACCTTTTTTAATTTTCATTGAATGCTAAACACCAAGTGTTATTTTCATCTGAAAGAAGAATAATAAGATGCATTTTTTTCAGTAAGCTAGGTGTATTTTTAAGGCTTCAAGATTTTATGCTACCTCTGACTAAGAATGTCTTTTTATTTTAAGAGCAATAAATGTATTTTGTTTAGGAATTCATGTTTTTTATTCAGATTTGTAAATCAACATGTATACATTGATATTAGTCAATTAATGTGGAGCTAGTCGATAATTGAATCAAATCGAAATGGAATCGGACTGAAAAAAAATGAATCGTTAGATTCATCAATGCATCGAAAAAAATAATCGCCGGATTAATCATTTAAAAAATTGTTGTTTATCCCAGCCCTATTGACTACACAACCTCTCAAAGTCCTATGTTGAACTTATCTGCAATTGTATTTTCACCGCCGCAGCAATCTACAAGCACAAGCACACTTTCTTCCTGTCTGAATTCACTCTGACTTAACACAAACAATGAGCAGTCCAACACTACATCTTTCAGCTCCCTGCCACTCCACTTTCCAAAGCCAAGAGGCCATAACGCTTGCTCGGCAGGCCCCATCACCTCCCGCCGCCAGAGCCATAACCCGCGCTCACAAAAACACCTTACGGAGAGCGGAGAGGAGCTTAAACTAGCGTTACTAGTTGGGCTATGTCTCTCCTGGGAGAATAGAGAATGTGGAATGGCCGTTTGAAGCTGTGAGTGATGGAGTACGCCAGATGCCAAGAGACTGCAACGTGACCTCAGCACAAAAACATTTACAGTTTAGAGCGCGCTTGTATGACGGCTGAAAGTAATTGATGAAGATTGTGTGTGGCACGAGGGAATCGCTTTGGTTTTGTCGTAATCACTTTCCAGAAGTTGTCTATGCTGAGATGAGAAAAGAAAGACAAGCACATATAAAATCATTTTCCGTAGAGTAGATTTGATATCTCTCGTGTGATGTCATCTACACGGAAACTGAAGTAAGCTGCTCACCATGCTCTGATTGGTTGTGGCTAAGAATTAATGAACAAATATTTACAACAATATAGTAAAATTGTTATAATCCTTTGAAATATATAAAAATAAAAATGAGAATTTGAGCTGTAACTATTAATTTCAATTGTATATATTTTTTTCAATAACTAATATTCTAACTGGTTAATCGTTAACTGCTCTCTGCTCACTGTTGACACATAGATCGAACAAACAAACAAAGCAGAAGCTAAAGACATTCAAGAATGACCGTGTAGTGTGGTGAGACAGTGTGTATGAATGTGGAAATCCAAATGTTAGAGCACTGTTGTAAATATGTGTTTAAGATTGTATTTTTATATTTAGGGTAGAGCTCCTGCAGGGACTCGAGTATTTTCTTATAATTAGTATTTACTGTAATTCTATGTCACATGTCACATGTTTTCAACCTGGATTTGAACATTGTCAGATTAGAAGCCCGTCTCACATTTTCAGGAAGACTGATTTTAGCGGCATAAATCTGAAACTTTAGCTCCCATGGTTCAGCCCTGACACTGGGAACCAGCCGGAAGCCAGTCCTTGTGCTCCTTAGAGTCTGAGTTGGTTCATATGGCACTAATATGTCATGGATGCACGTTTGTGCGAGGCCATGCAGACTTGTACACAAGCAGAGCTGCTTTAATGTCTTTTCTCTGAGCCACAGGAAGAACTGGATTAATGTGCTAATGCGATCGTACTTCCTGGTTCTAGCTGCAGTTTCCAATTGGACAAAGTTAAGCTTGTACAATCTTCCCATTACAATTGGTCATGCAGACAAACTTTGATGTATTGTTTGTGTATAGTGATGGTAACATCCAGACCATAATTCAAAATACATATGATGACATGCACCACAAATGATTTCTCATCTAACTTCATACACCATATACATTGCTTAAAAACCTTGCTTCAGCATCGCTACCTGCAACTTTTTTGTACACTTTCCGTCAAATAAATTGGCTTGACTTGTAAGTATTTGCAGATGTAGGTCGCATTGACAAACCGCGCAGTGTGCTTCCCATCAGTCCGCCAGAAAAGGGGGGGGGGGGGTTATATACAATGTTGGGGTGGGGGGGGGGGGGGGGGGGGGGGGGGGGGGGGGGGGGGGGGGGGGGGGGGGGGGGGGGGGGGGGGGGGGGGGGGGGGGGGGGGGGGGGGGGTGGGGGGGGGGGGGGGGGGGGGGGGGGGGGGGGGGGGGGGGGGGGGGGGGGGGGGGGGGGGGGGGGGGGGGGGGGGGGGGGGGGGGGGGGGGGGGGGGGGGGGGGGGGGGGGGGGGGGGGGGGGGGGGGGGGGGGGGGGGGGGGGGGGGGGGGGGGGGGGGGGGGGGGGGGGGGGGGGGTGGGGGGGGTGGGGTGGGGGGGGTTGGGGGGGGGGTGAGGGGGTGGGGTGGGGTGGGGTTGGTTGTTGTTTGGTGGGTTTGGGGGGTGGGGGGTTTTTTGGGGGTGTGTGGAGTAGTTTTTTTTTTTTTTTTTTTTTTTTTTGATTTTTTGTTTTTTTTTTTTTTATTTTTAGGGGGGTTTGGGGATGAGGAAAATAGGAGTTAAAATATTAGATGGATTTGGGTGGAAGATGAGAGAAGGGGATGTGGTTATAAGGGGGGGTGGGAGATTATATGAAGGGATAGGGGTTGTATGGGAAGATGTATTTTGTGGGGGTTAGTGGTTGGGGGGTTTGGGGTGGGGGGTGGGGGTTTATAAGGGGGTGGTTTATTGTTATGAGTTTGTGAGAGGGTGTTGGAAATTTGAGGGATGGAGGTTGGATTGAGTGGGATAGGGGGGTGGTGTTTAGTGGGGGGGTTGTGTGGAATGGGGTTAAGGTGGGGGTGAGTTTATGTGGGTGGTAGAGGAATAGGATTAGTGGAATTGGTGGGTTTTTTGTGTGTATAGTGTAGTGGGTTGATTATGAGGGGGTGATGGAGGTTGTGTGAGGGTTGTTGAAGGGGAGGGGGGGGTGGAGGGGGTTGGGGGGGTGGGGGTGGGGGGGGGGGGGTGGGGGTGGGAGGGGAGGGGGGGGGGGGGAGGGGGGGGGGAGAGGGTAGTGGTGGAGGAAGGGGGAGTAATAGTGGGGAGTAGATGGGAGTGGTGGTAGTATTGTTGGTGTGAGGGTTAGTGATTGTGAAATAGGATTAGAGGGTGTATAGGGTTAGTATAGTGGATAGGGGGAGTTGGGAGTGAGGAAGTGTGGGATAGTGTGGAGATGTGGGGAGGGTTAGGGAAGGGGATGAGAAGAAGATGGGGTGAGTAGTGAAGTGGGGATTAGGGGGAGTTGGGTAGGAAGTGGAGGAGTTTGAGATTGAGTTGGGGTAGGAAGAGTGAGGGGTGGTTAGGAGGAGTGAAGGGGGGAGTATGGAAGGGGAAGTGGTGTGTATGGTGGATGGGAGGGGGTAGTATGGGAGTGAGGGGTTAGTATGTGGATAGGAAGGGTGAGTAATGGAGATGTAATGTGAGGATGAAGAGGTAAGGGGAGATGAGATGGAATTGGGAGTGTGAAGATGGAAGGGGGAGTATGAAGATGGAAGGGAGTATGAAGATGAAGGTGAGTATTGAAGATGAGGAGTATGAAGATGAAGGGGAGTATAAGATGGAAGGGAGTTATGAAGATGAAGGGGAGTATGAAGATGAAGGGTGTTATAGGAAGAATAAGGGAGGATGAAGATGGAAGAGGGGAAATGAAGATGAAGGGTGAGTAGGAAGATGAAGGAATAGATGGGAAGGGGAAAGTAGTATAAGATTGAATAGAGGATGGGGGGAGTATAAGAGGTAGGAGGAGTAGAAGAGGAAGGAGAGTAATGATTGAAGGGGGGAGGAATGAAAGGGATGGGAGAGTATACAGGAAGGGTGAGTATGGAAGATGAAGGAGTATAAGATGAAGGGGAGAATTAAGAGATAATGGAGTATATGATGAAGGGAGTTAGAAATGATGGGGAGTAGATAGTTAGAAGGGTAGGATAAGAGAAGAGGATAGTATTAAAGGAAGGAGATTATATGAAGAGGGAGTATGAAGAGGAAAGGGAGTTAAGATGAATGAGATGAAGTGAGTATATGAGGAAGGGGAGTTATAAGATAAGGGGTGATAAGATGGAAAGGAGTATAAGAGGGATGGGATGAAGGGAAGTAGAAGGTGAGATGGTTTTAGATGATGTTTTTTACTATTGACATATACATATATATATTTATTCATTTTCTAAAATTTTCTTTTGTATTTGTTTTTAAAGTGTATTTTTAAATTTGTTTTAAATGTTGCCGATGTGAAGCACTTTGGGTTGCATTCTGTATGAACTGTGGTATAGAAATAAAAATGTATTGATTGATTCTTGTGAGTACAGTTTGGGTCAGGTACATGTTGACTAATCAATCGATAGGGCATTTGTTCTGTCGGCCAAGAATTACATTGATCGACTATAGACGAGCTGTTTATGACTCAAGCTGCATCCCATTCGTCTGTCAGCATCCTGTCCACAGCTGCCTGTCTGTCACTCATCTCTCAGGTTTCTGTCTTCTCCAGGCCGGACACACCTGCCCATCCTCCCATACCTTAGTGTCTCTGTTCTCCTCGCTGTCGGCCATTCCTGTCTGCGCACGTGCTTCTAGAGACACAACGTGATTGTTTTTTTGCCCGCTGAGGACTGACGGGCGCTGAATCACCTCCGCCACACAAAAGAACGACGAATCTTTCAACATACTCTACACCAATGTAGTTTAGAGCAATCGGCAAAGAGTATCTAACAAAGTTCCAGCTTTGTAGCTTTTGCTAATGGGAATGCAAAGCCAAGCAGTGGTTTGTAGACTTTGCTAAGCCGGTACACGACGTATCGTAAGAAAACAGGAACTGGCTGGTTTATCTAGCTGTCATTTACTACTGGAAACGCCAACTTGAACTCAAAGCAAGAATCAACATCTTTTTATTAAAGGTGTATGTGTGATTGATTATGGTTGCATGGAGCCACTGAAGTAGATTGGCAGCCACACTTCTGTCAGACTAGTGTGTGGTCAATTTGACAACAAAAAATAAGGAGACATTATTTTATTTTCTGAAATACAAATGAACAGGAAAATCTGTCTTTATGGACCAATGATTAGGCAAATCTTTGTGTGGTATTGCTTGATATCTAATTGTATGATTCCCTAATCTGTTGGAATATTCTATGACACTGTTTGAGATGACTGCTGTTGTCCCAAATAACAATAAATGTTCTTCATCCAACCATTTTTTTTTAAACAAAATAACAAAGTAACAGACAGGTGTAAAGTTTTTCAAATAAACAACTTTTGACTGTGTAATTAATACTTTTGCCATTTTCTCCCCAAAAGGCCATGGAGCCACATACAGTACAGTATGTTCTTGATTTTTTGGCATGTACTTCTGATATGCAGATGATTTTCTAGCCTTGCACATATTTTTTTTTTCTCAAAGGAACAAACATTTGATACATCACAACCTGATCCCTGGCCAAACAGTGCCTTTGATGTGACCATGTTTCACTGAATAACATTGGAATATAGGAAACAAACAGCTTCTGATGTGATGTGGTGCTCATACTTGAAGCCGACAGTGTCCCGACTTCACTGACATTCCATTAGACAGCGGGCTTTTGACCCTCATGGCACCCGTCCATTCCACCCTACGTTTGCGACACACGAGAACAAAGCTCGGGACAATGACATGACACCATCTTCCATTAAAAAGCACGTGTCGACCACTCACTTACCCGATAGAAGTGTCAGGCGTATGGGCGGTACAAGGTGTTTGATGGTGTAGCGCCGCGCCCTTCAGCAAACCACTTTCATTAATGCCTTGTCCTCCCGCTCTGTCATAACCCAAGCCAATCCTCTACTGTAATAGAGTAACAGCAAAAACACACTACACTAAGTGTGCGTATTTCTTCATGAAAAAACACATTACACATTATTATTGATCAGTTGAATATTAATATTTCACACAGAGCTGCTATGAATTACTATGTTTTCTTTACCCAAACATATGCGTTTGAATCAAGTTAATAAGATGGATGCCCAAGTACTCAAACATTTCAGAACTGCATTGTTTTTTTATATTTAGTTCTTTTGATATATTGGGCAGCCCTAGATCTCGATGTTTGCTATGCGCCGGTTGAATCAGCTCGGAGATTTTGACAGTCTCTTTCAGTTGTATTTCAGAAACCCACTATTTCTCCAAATGGGGCTTTGTATTTTTACAGGCTGTAATTAAGAAATCAGTCTGACAGGCATTGAGCGAGAGCTAATGAGCCTTCTGATGTAGTCCATATGAATATTGAAATTTTAATATTTGATGGCGTTCTAATTGCCCCGGTTGCCATTAAGGACTTGTGAATAATTTTCCGACTCGGCGTGGGGTATAAATGGATGTACGTTGCACACTTTTGAGGGTGATGGACGGAATAATAGCACCCCCCACCGTGCAATGTTAATGAGCTAAAAACTGACATTTGTTCTCCAAACCCAAAAGTAATGGAATAAAAACAAGAATAAAAAACCATTATGTTACAACAATGCGCCTTTCTCATTTTATTCCTAAGGGAAGAAGAATTTATAGTTAGACGGATCAAAACCAGATTTTTCCCAAAATGTATCTTATTTTCAGTCCTTGTTTTGTTCTTTTCTAGTACCGGGTTGTACTTGGTATGAAAACAAGTGAGTGTCACTGCTCATGGTTGATGGGAAGTGTTGACAACTATCTTCCTGGCTGAGCGGCCTTTCTTTCAGGTTGTGTCTGTACAGGACTCTATCCTCCTCCTGAGGTCTTGGCTGATTACTTGGATTTCCCCATGATGAAAAATTACATCATAGTCTATGAAGCCATCATTTTAGGCAGTTCACTTAGTATACACTTATTACTACTATTGTTAGCTTTTTAGAATGATTGATTGATTGATTTTTGCTGCTACTGGACACCTGAATTTCTCCTTCGGGGAACAATAAAGTATCCGTCTATCTATAAACCTGAAATACATAATTTACTTGAAAATTAAATACATAAAGTTTACGTTTAATTTAAGTTATCTACCTTCAATATTAGGAATACTGAATAACTTGGACACTGGAAAGTGTCTGTAAACTTTGATTTCAACTGGGTTTGTATTTTCTAATCAGACCAGGAACCTTTTTGATGAAATCATTTTGTACAACAATAAATCTTGCATTTATTCTTTGGTTCAGAATATTCAGTTCTGAGGCACAGTGCTGCACACCTGCTCATAAAACTGCAGGATGTATTAACACTAGGGCTGTCAAAATTATCGCGATAACTCACGTTAATTACATTTTTCATTAACTTGTAAAACAAAAATTAACGCATTAACGCATGTTCGAATTACCCGCCCATTTATCCATAATATCACTCAGAATGCAGCGGACTCA